GGCACACTTGGAAAAATGCGCCACAATTAAGAAAATGCGGCACACTTTAAAAAATGCCCCACACTTAAGAAAATGCGGCACACTTGAAAAAATGCTCCAACTCAAAAAATTGCGGCACACTTGGAAAAATGCGCTACACTTAAGAAAACGCCCCACACTTAAGAAAATGCGGCACACTTGGAAAAATGCGCCACACTTAACAAAATGCGGCACCCTTGGAAAAATACGCCACACTTAAGAAAATGCGTCACACTTGGAAAAATGCGCCACACTTGAGAAAATGCTGCACACTTTAAAAAATGCCCCACACTTAAGAAAATGCGGCACACTTAAAGAAACGCGCCACACTTAAAAAATGGCGGCGCACTGTGTGCTTACTCTTAAGGTGGTCTTATACCCTAAAAATCGCATTTTTTGCGTACAAGGTCGATTTTTTGAAAACGTCATAAATAGACTCTTTAACCATCCCTTTGCATTATTCCAGGGTGTTTTTGACCAGAAAAAGTCATTTGTACGAAAAATGTATCAAAAACTACTGATATGTCTAATTTTTGGCCATAGCAACGCCCCTAACAACGACTGTTTACAGTTGTTGGTTCAAAATCGTGAAGAAACCATTTTGCCCCTGGGACCGCTCTCTAGAGGAAATGATTTGGTAGCTCTTATAGTGTTTACCGCTGGCCATATTTTTCGTACGGACTAAAACTTTTGGCTTTCGATCGACGAATGTGTCATTCGCTTTTCTTCGAGTAAAGTTTTAGCTTTCTTTTGTGGTTTCAAAAGAGATTTGGATATAAGATGGCTAGAACTGGCAATAGACCCCGTAAACGTAAGTTCCACGGAAATCAGCATATGCAGAGAAGTCCTAAATCGGCGAAAATCGAAAAACCTATCGACGAAAATGTAACTATCCAGTCTGCCTCAGAAAGGAAGATCAAGGCCAAGCTTGAGGTTAAAGAAGAAAAAGAAGAAATAATCAGCAGCAGTCTGAGTGGATATCGTCTAATGGATGTGGAAATCTTGGCTGATGTATTGAGGCTTTTGTGTTGCCAAGAGTGTGGTGAGTCAAATATTCAGTTAACAGAGGTATCCTTTAAAAGGCATGGTTGTGCATCATGTCTTCGATTATTATGCTTGGACTGTGGGTGTAACCATTGTTTTTACACGTCTAAAAAGATATCAAGATATTATGAGGTGAACAGAAGACTTGTTTATGGGATGAGAACGATTGGGCAAGGGGAAGCAT